TCGAACTCCTAACCTTGAATGATGTCCCCACTTCGGCCTCCTAAAGTGCTGGGATTACAGGCACGAGTCACTGTGCTGGGTCAATGGGTTCTGTTTTTACAAGAATCTTGAATAGTATCTCCTGTTCCTCATCAGCCTTTATGTAAACATCAGCTACAAAGTGGGGGTTTGTTAGAGGCTCCTCTGCTCCATTCAGAGCAGCTACAGTATAAACAACTCTAGGTTTTCCAGGCGGATCTCTTCAACGTCCCATTTTCCCTTGAAGCTAAGACTCTTGTCTTATATTAGCACAGTGATCATGGGATATGAATAACTTCCAAGGAGTATGACTCCAAGGTCATGGGGAAGAATACCCTACTCTCTACTGTGAGTAAAACTTACAGTAAGAAACAAAATAAATGTTTCCTCAGGCCCAAAGCTATTACATTGAGCATCAAGTCTCTGGTCAGGAGGAGAGCAGGTTATGCAAAAACCAAGATAAACAGAAGATGTTCTTCACCCTTCCTTCAGGCAATGGGAGGCTTTTTCTAACTGTTAATGGAAATTCTTGGCTCAGCATGGGCCTAAACAAAAATGTGTGATAAAAGGCACTTGACTCTCATTTCAACCATGTCCTGCATACATAAGCAGGAGAGAGATGCAAACCCTGTCTCTCCTCATCTTTGCATCCCACACATCCTCATTCTCATGTCCCAACCCCAGTCAGTCTAACTGCAGATCTTCCTGTTCTCTGCTGCAGAAAATTCAGATGACCACACAAATCAAGTATCTACCTAAACTCTATGTCTTGGTCAGGGATCTCCAGAGAAAGAGAACCAAAATAATGTGTATGTATAGAGAGATTGTTTTCAAGGAAATGCCTCATGTGACTAAGGAGCTAGCAAATCAAAAATCTCCAGGATAGGCCATCAATCTGGAGGCCCAGGGAAGAGTCACACCTGCAGTTCAAGTCTGGAGCCTGTTGCTGGCAGAATTCTTTCTTGCCCAGGGAAGGTCAACCTTTTCCCTTTTCAAGCCTTCAGTGGATTGGATGAGGACCACCTACATTAAACAAGACAATCTATTTCACGGAAAGTCCACCAACTTAAATCTTAATCACATCCAATAAGACACCCTTACATAAATACCGAGAATCATGTTTGACCAAGTATCTGCTCCACTGCAAAGCAGCCAAGTTGACACATAAAATTAACCATCACACTGGACCTTCAGTTTTACTAAGAAATCTTCTAAGTCTCTGTATTTCAGTCTTGTTCCAGTTCTTTAGAAGGACTTCAACAATATCCTAGTTCTATCATATTCTATATCATGTTTTTAATAGATTAAATGCTTGAAACTATTTTTTTTTTTTTTGGAAGACAGAGTCTCACTCTTTTACCCAGGCTGGAGTACAGTGATGTGATCTCAGCCAACTCCAACCTCTGCCTCTCAGGTTTAAGCGATTTTCATGCCTCAGCCTCCCAAGTAGCTGGGACTACAGGCATATGCAACCACGCCCAGCTAATTTTTTAAACTTTTAGCAGTAACAGGGTTTTACCATGTTGTGAGGCTGATATCAAACTCCCAATCTCAGGTGAGCCATCCACCTTAGCCTCTCAAACTGCTGGGATTACAGGTTTGAGCCTCCACACCCAGCCTTGCTTCTGAAACTTTTGATGCATCTTACGTCTATGTGTAAAAGTAATCTGATAGTAGTTTTGCTTTGATTTATTTTGATAAACTTCTATAATTATGTAATTGGTATTACTATAATTTGAGTATGTCCTCCAAAAGTTCATGTTGAAACTGAATCCTCAATATAACACTATTAAAACATGGGGTCTTTAAGAGGTGCTGGGGTTTTTAGGGCTCTTTGCCCCTGAATAGATTAACCCATTCAGGAATTAACATGTTAGTAGATTGTCACAAGAGTGAGTCTGCTGTGCGTCTGTTGTAAAAGCCAGTTTCTCTCAGTGTGTCCCGACTCACCATATGATGCCCTGTACCACTGAGGACTGCAGAGATTCCTTATCAGCAAGAAGGCCCTCACCAGATGCAGCCTCTAAACCTCAGACTTACCAGCCTTCAGAGTTGTAAGAAAAAAGTGTATTTTCTTTATAAGTTACCCAGTCTTAGGTATTCAGTTATGGAAAAAAAAACAAATATATATATATATATATATGACAGGTACCATCTTAGGATCAAGGAAATATGGCAATATTGGTTAATATCCAGTCATTGCTGCCATTGTGTTAGGCATCACACCAATTCCTTTCCCTACTACACATGAGGTAGGAAAGAGACAATTATCTAGATTTGAGAGGTGAAGAAATGGAGGCCTGGTACATGGAAACCCATCCTTTAGTCTTTGGTACACCTGATGTTGCATAAGAAACAATAGTAAACAGAAAATGAAGACCTCTCCCAATGGACAAAGGAGCCAGTGACCAATCCTAAGAACATGGCAATGTTCAATAATTCAAAACAGCAGTTTTTAGGAAACTCAGCAAACATTGTGATAACACAGAAAAGTAATTCAGAAATGTATCAGAAAAATTTAGCAAGGAGATCAATATAGTTGTCTAAAAATCAAACAGAAACCCTGGAACTGAGAAATAAACTCCCTGGCAGAAAACTGTCAGACTCTCAATAACAGAATTGATCAAGTAAAAAAATTCAGTATGCTCAATGCAGATTATTTCAAATACAAAGTAAGAGCAGAAAAAAAGGAAAAAGAATGAAGAGTACCAATTAAATATAGAAAGTACCTCAAAAGAGCAAATCTAAAAGTCATTGACCTTCATAAGGGAACTGAGAG